TTCATAAAAGCCTACTGGGCACACTGGTGACAGCTAACCAAATGCATGTTTATTTTTCTTACTGTGGCTTTGTGGAAAGCCATATACAAATAAGCAAAATTTTAATATTCAAAGTTTGAACCCAGAAATATTTCTCTCTCTATGCTAAAAATGCTTATCATTCACTCTGGAGTCACAGTGACCTTTCATGAAATGAATTGCAGAGTTGTATTCCCCCTCCTTTCTGAGTAAGCTTGCTACTCAGCATAATTTCTATCTAGATATTAAAAAAGGATAATGCAGTTCCATTTCATAACATCCATGCCAGTTTTATACATGTTACAAATGGGGGAGGTCAGCATGACAAAGATGTCGTTTCCAGCTTCTTTTCAACTGCATCTAGGTTGCAGGAGTAGGAAAGATGGATATTAGAGAAACACCTTGCACAGACCTCCACTTCATTCAAGCAAATTGACACAGCTTGGTGCTGAATGTCCCTCAGCACTCCCCACAGGGCTTATTTTTAGATAAGGCAGAGCAGTTAAGAACTCCCCACCCCCCATTTATTTCTTCCTGTGCCTCATGCTGGATCACAAATCTTAGGGACCTTGGCGTGTAAAGTTACTTACTAAGTTACTCCAGTGCAAGGCTTGGCGGGGGAGGGGGGGGCGGTCATAAAGGATAAGCCATGAGATCAAATCTGTATGCCTGATAGGATTGGCTTTTTCAGTCATTTATCATGTTTACAATTTAAATGATTTGTTCAGATTGTTTAAATTTGAAATTATTCAGTTACTGATTATCACTCTGTTCTGTAACCTATAATTTATGGATATTCTCAGCCTGTTTTTTTGTCTTAAATGATGTAAGAAAAACACTGAAAATTATCCTCCTAATTGTCAATTGTGCCCCAAAGTTCTTCAACAGATGGGGACAACCAGGGGTGGACTTCAACATTTTTAGCAAAGGGTTCTCTGCCCAATTGCTGGGTAGGCATGGCCATGGTGGGTGTGGCCTAGTCAGCCTCCTGCCCCATGGGGGGCATTTTTGCCCTCCCCGGGCTTCAGAGGCTCTCTGGAAGCCAGAAATGGGTCCATTTCCAACCTTCCCAAACTTCCAGGAGGCCCATTTTTCATCCCGAGCCTCTGCGCATACTGTGTACTTACCTGCATCCAAAACTGGCTGTGTGAGGATTCCTGGGAGGGGTGAGGTGGGAGGGGCAAGGTGGGAGGGGTGGGGCCAGCCAGGAGTGGGATTTGGAGATTGTCTGAACTGTACAGACTATTAGCTAGGAGCTCTCCTGAACCCCCAGCAGCCCACCCTGGGGAAACCCAGTAACCCCAACAGTCTCAGCTATCTTTTGGAAGAACCAGAGCTCCCAAAAATTATGTCATCAAAATCTGGTGGGAATTGCTAATAACAACTTGGCAATTTCCTACTGATTTCAGTGGAAAGTGTGAAATATATGTAATATTATATACAGTGCATTCAGAAAGTATTCAGACCACCTTCACCCTTGTCAACTTGGTTATGCTGCAGCCTGATTCTACAGTTGTTGAAATTCATTTTTTTCTCATTAATCTACATGCAGTACTCCATAATGACAAAGTGAAAACAGAATTTTAGAAATGACATTGCGTGCATGCACGACAATCACTGACTGCATTTTTCCCCCGCCCGCCCTGCTCTGCCCCTCCTTATCTCGGCCATGCCATCACTGCCTGAAGTCTGTCTTTGCCCACCGGACTGCCCGCCAGCCATCGCTGTCTGCCTTCCGCCATCATGATCTCCCTACGTGAGTGAGGCTCTGCAAGCCCCGGTCACCTACATGCTCCTGCTGCCGCCAGCCCCAGTTGAGTCCCGACTCCTGGGCCAGGCTAGTCTGTCACCACCATGCTACTGCTGCTGTCCAATCCCTTGCCGCCACTGCCGCCACAAGCCCCAGTTGAGTCCCCAGGCCAGCCTAAGCACCACTGCCATGCCACTGCTGCCCTCAATGCTTGCGGCTTAGCAAGCTTCCCCCCTCCACTGTCACCAGCCTCCAACTTACCTGGCTTGCTGGTGACAGAGAGTAAGGCAAGCCAGGGCTGACCCATTGCCACTTGGGTCCCCACCAGCCTGCATCTTGCCCCCCACCTAGATTATCTGCAGCTGCTGGGCCTTGCCTGCTGGGGGTGAGGGTAAGGGGGGTGATCAGGGAGCATGATGCTATGCCACCTGGGCCTGCAACGCCCCTTTGCCTGCTGCCCCTTCCCGCTGTGAGGGGTGATGTGGGCGATGTAGCCTCATGCTTCCTGGTTGCCTTCCGCACCACCACCACCACCACCACCCCCGGGCAGCTGTGAGCCCCAGCAGCTGCAGAGAATCCAAGCAGGGGACAAGCTGCAGCCTTGGCCACCCCACCGGCAGCTCTGGGCTAGACAGCAGTTTGGGCTTTCCTGACTGCCTGCAAACTTACCTTCCTCCTGTGGCTGGTGGCCGGGGGAAAGGTGAGTCAGCCACGGTGGGCCGGCTCACCTTTCCTACAGCTCACCTCTCCTGCAGCTGCTGGGATAGGCGAGGTTGTAGTGCATGCCCTTGCTTCCCTTGAAGTTCCAGCCCTTTCCCCAAAAGAAAAAGGGGAGGAAGTCCCACCTGTGGCCCCTTTGTTGGATCCAGAAGCCTTGCCTGCCAGCTTTTCCAGGTAACGTGGGAGCAGGTGTGAACAAACAATCATGCCCAGTTCCTGGGACTCTGGGAGACTGGCCAGGAAGATCCCTAGTCACAAGCAACACTGCTGGGCGAGTACTTTGATGGAAGTGTATGTGTGTGTGTGTGTGTGTGTGTGTTTGTTTCAGGTGGGTCTCCTAGCTTTAGAAGGAGAGAGGGAAGGAGGAAGGGAAGGGATAGAGAGAGAGGGAAAAAGAGAGAGGGAAAGAGAGCAAGAGAGAGGGAGAAAAAGAGAGAGGAAAAGAGAAAGAGACAGGGAAACTGAAGGGGGGAAGAGAAAGAGAGAGAAAGAAAGAGAGTGGGAAAGAGAGAGAGAGAAAGAAGAGACAAGAAAGTAAAGAAAGAAAAGGGAAAGAGAAAAAGGGAGAGAAAGGAAGAGAAAGGAAGAAAAGCGATAGACAAAGAGGGGTGGAAGGAAGGGACAGAAAGAAAGAGAAAGAGAGGGGGGAGAAAGTGAATGAGATATATGGTAGATAGATAGATACATGGAAGGAGGGAGGGAAAAAAAAGGAGAGGAAGGAAGGACACAAACCCTGGCTTCAGAAGACTTTTTGAAACAGCACAGCAATCTAGGGCTGGCCTGCAAGGAATCTCTGAGGTCATCTTCTAGTCCAGCCCCCTGGTCCAGCAGGGTTAGAAGGGTGTGTGTGTGTGTGTGTTTGTGTGTGCATGGCTGTCAAAACTTCAAAAACAGGTCAAGTAGCTCTGGGGAGGTCAGTCATAAATTAGAACACTTGCTAAGTAACCGGCCATTAAGCAAGGACCACTTGTATTTGGTTTGCCAGTCACATGGCCACCTGACCACAGCTGCCCAGTTCACATGACCACCAAGCCACGCCCACCCAGTCACGTAACCAGCAAGCCATGCCCAGCCAGCAAGCCACACCCAGCCAGTCACATGACCACCAAGCCACACCCACAAATTTAGCCACACCCACAGAACTGGTTGTTAAAAAATTTGAATCCCATCCCTGGAATTAGTATAGCGTCTAAAATCACATTGGTTCAGATAGGCTGCAATCCAATGTACAGTATAGGCACACAGAAGAAAAAGCTCCATTGAATTCAGGATAACTGCAAGTAGTAGTATTAGGAAAGAAAAAAGAATTTGTCCCATAACAGATCTTTTGGCTGACATTACCAAGATATTATGGCTGGTACTACAGAATGTAATCCATTCTGTATCCAAAAACCTCTTTTAAGGCAACAAAGTAGGATTCTAAACTCGCTTTCTTACACTATTTTGACGGGTTAAAAAATGTGTAGAGACCAAGGTTGAATTAAAATTTCCAGCATCCCTTTACTGCTGGCCATGCCGGGAGGAAAGGGGGAGTCTTAAAGCCCAAAGCAACTAGTGAACTTCTAATTGGGAATTTGTTTTGAGGGATAAACAGTATAAAGAATCAATCTCAAGGTTCCTGTCTAGTACAGCCCTTGTATAATTGTATTGACCAGGCTGCTGATAGCTGTAATTTATCAACCATAAAAAGAACACAAGTTCTTCATCCCTAGTGCAAAAGATTTGGTGCCTCAGAAATAGTTCATTTTCTTCCCCAACATTGCAATGCTTCTGCAATATTAACACATATGGTGAGATTCCAAAAGTGGTTTTGGTGAAAGGAGAAAAAGCTCCATGAAAATATGAAAGTACCATCTATTTCTATTAACTATTAGCCTCCTTCCTGCTCATGCAGTCAAATCTGAAGACATAATGTCCTTAATATCTTTATTACTAAATAAAATTAATCAAGTAAAACAGAGGAATTGCAATCCAAGAAGATAAGTCTATTTTTAACTCATCAACATTCTGTTGTCCTGATTTCTCAAGCAGCAATGAGGTCAGTTAAAATTGGCATGGAAAAAAAAGTTTGCCTCTGCTTAAAGTAATTCTATGCAGTTGTATCACTGAGGAATTTCCATTTTGTTTATATTTTATTCTTATCATTTATTTTTAGTCCCAATTTAAGGTTACATATAAACTTAGAAACTGGCTTCTGGAAAACAGTATATATCCAAGCCATGCCATCCAGGTAATCCTCAACCTATTATCACAATTGTGCCCAAAATTTGTGTTGCTAAGTGGGAAATTTGTTAAGTAAGTTTTGTCCCATTTTACACCTTTTCTTAGGCACAGTAAGATGGGAAGCTGTATTGAGCATACCCAAATGCTATTGCTCTTGTAGTTTCTAGTGGTCTTTATTTTCTGAAATTCCTTCTTATCAGACCTCTGAGTAGTTTATTTATCCTTAGGTTACAGTCTACTGAAAGACATGTTCATCAGAAACTCTGGTTTCGTATATAAGGGTTTTGCAATTCTGTTTTGTGAAGTGAAATAAATAGTAAATAAATAATGTAGATAGTTATTAACTTGTGCCTTTGATGGAATGTGTGCTCCTTTCCTATTGTATTGTGAAAGTGATATTACTCATTGGATCTATTAAAAATTCAGTAATGAATTTCAGAGGTTCTAAGTTCCTTGCAGTATTCTGTGGGTGTATCTTAGTAACTCTGAAACTTGAGTCCGAAAGATAATCTGAGCTGATGAATACATAGTTACCAGGAAGCACCATAGTGAAATTATAGGTTAAAAAATATTTGCTTATAGAATGCCATTATAACCCATAAAGGTTTTGCTATCATTTTTTTGTTTCCTTAATTGATTTTAGTTTTTTTGCAGTGAAAACTCTATTGCTTAAATATGTCAAATCAACGAGCTTCAAATGTCAGAAGCATTCAGGTAAGGTATTTTGTGTGATTGCTTATAAATTACTTTAAATGGAGAAGAGATACATGGGACGGAGCTTTATTTCTAGTTAGGGATTATTCTCAATTTGCTAGAAATGCAGCTAAATTATTTTGAGGGAACAATTTATTGCACGTCTCACATATTTTTATTAGCATAAAAAATAATCACAATTTGCTTCCCCCGTGTGCTTTGTTCCGTGTAAAAAAGCAATTCAATATGTTATCTAAAGTTTAAATAGTGCTATCATACACATACATACACACATTACTTGTGCTGTTACTTTTCCTTATTCTCCTTGAAAATTAACTTATCACTATTAGCACTCTTTTAGCTGGTAACTGGAAATAAATCTCTCAATTAAATATCTATGGAGATTCTCAATCATCCAGTCATGGTTATCTCAAAGGTGCTTTTTAAAGAGGCAACTGGAGTTCCTTGTTTTTCTTTGAAGATGTTTTGCTTCTTCTTTGCTGAAGAAGATTCTTGGATGGGAAGGGAACTTCTTCAAGGAAAAACAAGAAAGTCCAGTTGCCTCTTTAAAAAGCACCTTTGGGACTCTCAATTAAATACCTGTTATTGATGTTCCTTGACAGGAAAATGCTGGCTATATTCCATTCTGCCAATTCCAGATAGTGTTCAGCTAAAACACGAGATAGCTTGCTTGTTGGTCATGCTTAGGTAAGGTTGATGGGTATTTCTGTGAACAAAGGAATAAATATAATTGAAATTAGACATTTTTTATTTCCTTGTAGGTCATGTTGGATAGCTCTAATGAATTAATAAAGCGTCCAGATAAGTTAGGCCCAGATGAGTTATTTCCCCAAATATGCACTCTGAAGAAACCAATGGCATACGTAATTTATTTGAAACCCAGAGCATCTATTTCCTCTCAATCAATCACTAAAAAGGCCTGGAAACAATACTAGCTCCACTTACTTAGCAGCGCTAGGTTGTCAACCACTAAACAGCTGATTGGAATGTCACCAATAGCAATCCAACTCCATGCTATTGACCCTATGAATAAACTTCAATTGTTTCTGACAACAGCTCCTTATTGCCTCTATTGAGGACATAACGTTCTCATTCTTAATGTACCACTGAAAGAATCTGAATGGAGAAGGAGAGAAATCCTCATCCAGTAAGATAAAAAAACTATGTTAGGACTAAGGCTAAATTAATGCCATGCATGATCTATGGACATTCCTGTAATATAATTGTTTTCTTTGGGTAGCCTGTTTGTAGATTTAACTATGGACTTAGATTGTTCCATTGGTACATTTGAATATAAAACAGTGGAATTAAAATACAGATGTTATATCTATACATGCAATGCAAAAATAAATGCAAAAAAGAAAGAGAAAGAAAGAAAAAGAATCAGAAAGTCCAGTTGCCTCTTGAAAAACCACCCTTCTATATAGATACGTACAATCTACTAATGAATTATAAATTATGCCCCTATTATTCTGGGAATGGGATGACCAAGGCTCTAATGTTATTGTAAGAGACTGGATTTGTTATACAGTTTTTGAAGAAATAAATATTTTGCTTCCTAGTAATAGTAATAAACCCAATAGGATGCATACTTTATTAATTTTCCATCATTAAGAGTCATTTACTGCAGTTAGGCAAAAGATCAAGAGAGAAATATAAGTAAAAAAATACAAAAAGAACCCAACATAAATTAGGGTTAGGATTAGGGTTTTATTAAGGAAGAAGAAAAACATTGATATTTTTACTGATACTTGCAGCTAACAAAACAATCAGTAAAGCCATGGGCATTTTTTGTTGTTGTTCCTATGAAGAATGAAATAAAAACTGAACAATGATAGTATTTATATTTACATTTTACATTTTGCTTGATTCCATTCAAAATTGGACAAAAGTGAATTCCAATACATTAATGTCTAGTCATGAATGATTAAACAATTATGTTAACTATATTTAATGTGTTGAACTCAGTGCTGATTTAATTTATAATCCCTTTATTATTTATAACTGAAGTCATCCTTCAAGATTTTCTAATTAATAATTAAGGGATTTTGTTGCTCTTTTGACATTGAATAAAACTTACTTGTGGGAGGAACCTCAAAACCAAAATTGAACTGATGCAGGCCCCATTTTAACTATAGATTTTCTGTGGTGTAGAATTGAAGGGATAATATTTTCCTACTATCTATTCACAAACTATGTATATTGTTATACTGTTAATACTGGAAAATTATTTGTTGTATATTCTAATTTCAGCAAAAACATTTCACAGTGTCAAATGATCCCTGATTAACAAGTTGGATAGTGTGGGCTATATTGCATAATAGTTAAGTGGATAAGTGGGCTTGAAAATTGGTTTCTCATAACAAAGAATGATATTGTTCCTTTCTGGGTCCTGTATTATTTAACACTTTGATTCATGATTCAGATGAAAAGCTGCAGAAAATATTTCTCAATTTTGAAGATGACACAAAATTGGCTGGTACATCTAACAATCCAGAAGACAGAAATAATTATCTGAATTATCTTGAAAGCTTAGAGAAATATGCTAAAAGAAAATTAAATTGAACAGAGACAAATGCAAAATTATGTGTTTGAGAAACAAAAATATATATATAGTTTTTTTCAATGGGAAAATTTTGGCTTCGCAATAGCACTTATGAAAAAAATGTTTGGTGTAGTTCATTATTTACGATGCAGTCCATTGTGGTCCTTGGGCATTGTCCTCCAGATCTCTTCTGGTTGGGACAGAAATAATAGAATTCAGACGTTCTCCTCTGCATCTTCTGGGCCTGTTTGCAGTTCACTAGCCCTGAAAGAAGGATCTCATCAACTAACAGGTCAAGGCACTGAGAGGAGATCCCAGAAGAGCATTATATTCATGTTTATTCCTACATTAAATAGAATGCTTGAGGTTTATTCTCTACTATGCTTTGATCTTTGATGGAAGGGAAGCAGTGGTGGTATGCTATCGGTTCAGTCCTCTTCTGCCGAGCCGGTAGCGGCGATGAGCAGCAGAGACAGAACCGGTTCTCACCACCACTCTACTGTTGGGCCCACCTGCCCACCTGGGCTCCCATACTCACCTTTATCTTTTGCTTTTGAAGCACAGCTGCATTGCATGGCACAGAAGAGTGTTGCACGGCAGCTGCTGAAGCAATCTGGAGAGTACAGGCTTGAAGGAAGTGAGTCAAAATGCCTCTGCCCTTGCGCAAACACCTCTGCGCCTGTGTAAAGTGCATGTTTGGTGTACACGTGTACGCAAAGTGTGTGCATACGTGCAAAGCACGCCCACCAAGCCACACTCACCGAACTGGTGATAAAAGTTTTTGAATCACACCACTGGAGGAAAGGGAAACAAAGTTGGCATCCAGGCTGACTCTTATTACCCCTCTACTTGCAACTTGACAACAGAAACAAAGGAAGTATGGAGGGAATGCTTGGAATGTATTGGGAGCTGGAAGGGAGGTGAGGAATTTATGTGAGCCGTTTGCAGCCTGAGAAAATTCTGACACTTCAAGGCTGTGCAATGGGAATCTTCCAAAGGTACAGCCTGTTTTCCCAAAATAAAAGCAACATGTTAGATTAGTGGACAATGGACAATGAGTGGCCCAAATGGAAAAAGGGGAAATTAACTATGCTGCTTTTCACCTGAAAACCTCAGAGTAAGCTTTGCTTCTTCTGTGCCTATATGGATCTATGAGTAAAGGCAACTCCCCCAAGATGTCAGCAGCTGATAAAGAGTCAGAGGAGAAACCAGGAGAAATTCCAGCCAAAGGGGCTCTGGCAGTGCTGCAAGCCAGAGCAGGAGCACAGCCGGTTGGCATGCACTCCAAACAGAAGGTTGAAACACTTGAGCAGCGGCCAATGAGTATGAGAAAGTGGGAAAGGGATGGTCTGTACCAGGGTCCAAAGACCTGCTGGGCAATGAATGTGGATAAGGCAGTGGGAGTTTCATTGGGAGTCAATGATATCTGAGGGTTGAAAGATGAAAAGCGGAATGGCCAGTCGAGTGGGACTAGCCCACGGAGTGGAAGTTCACCACCCACAGCCCATTGATGGAGCAGCTGAAGGAGAAGTTCGGTGGCTTGGAGATCCAGGTGGCCACAATCATCCAGGGCCACAGTGGCAATAACCAGATGGGAATTGTTAAGTCATTAACAGCGTCAACTAGCTCATTGGCTCTCCTCCTGCAACTGATGGTGCCTACCCTGACTGTGTGGCTAAGACCCTGGCATAGGGGGGTGATGACAGCTGAACCTGCTATACCACCCCCAGCGTGGCAGAAAGTGGCTCTGGCAGCAGCTGGGGTCACTGCACACCTGGCAGCCAGTGGTACCAGCAGGGCTGCCACTGGGATACAGCCTGGTCTGAGAGGAGTGACCAACCCCTAATGATCTACTTTGATGGGTATCCAGATAACCTGGCCCTCTTTCCATCCCAAGTATGGCACCATATGGAATGCTATGGAGGAATGTATCCAGACAATGCAGCCTGGGCTTATGTCATTGTGTCTAACTTGGAAGAGAGCACTTTAGGATGGCTGGCGTCCCTGCACAATGAGGAGGATCCAGAGCTGAATGACCTAGATGCCTTCATGCAGACCCTGTGTGAATGGTTTGAGGACCCCATGATGGCTCAACATGCAGAAGCCCCCTGTATCTGCACCCTGAAACAAGGCAAGCAGCCAGTGATGGAGTACATCCAGGACTTCTGTAGCCTGGCTAGCCACCTAAGAGATAGGCCCAAGTGCATGCTGGACTACCACTTTTGATAGGGGCTAAACAAGGAGTTATACCACAACTGCCCACTCTGAAAGGATACCACAGAATCTGCAGGCATGGTACCAAGTGGCCACTGAAGTAGAAATTGAGTTGATGGAGTACCACAAGCACACCATGAAGAAAGCCAACCTTGCTGAGTGCCCAAGAAGTGACTGGCCCTTAGAGGAGGTGGGGGGCATGTCCCTGCCTGGCGGGGAGAACCTCACCAAAGCCCAGGGG